CAGATGCTCCAGCAGGGAGGGAGGAGAGGAATTATCCAGCTTGGGCGCCCCAGGCCAGTCCCTGAGCTGGGGACAAGGCAGCAGCTTTCATGGAGCACTGCAGCTAAGTCAGCCAGGCCTCAAGACTCTATCCAGCCTAATAATCCCCTGCCCAGGCACGGGAATGCCAGAGGCACTGGAGATTTGGGAGAAAGCAGCGAGTTAACAGCGTTAATGGCCTTGTTTCCAAACGAAGCAGAGACCACTCTATAAATCAATGTGTGGCTGACGGGTTTGCTGCTGTAGAAATTGGAATTGCAAGAGAAGGAAGAGGTAAATAGCACATAAATCAGAGAAGCACACATGGAATGACCCGAGTTGGAAGGGACCCACAAGGATCATGGAGTCCAACGGGACACCCCAACAACCCCACCACATGTCTGAGGGTGTTGTCCAAACACTCCTTGAGCTCTGGCAGCCTTGGGGCCGTGATCACTGCCCTGAGGAGCCTGTTCCAGTGCCTGGGGTGAAGAACCTAATCCTAATATCCAAGCTAAACTTCCCCTGGCACAGCTAATGCTAATTAGAGACACCTCCCTGCTGGCTGGCAAAGTTTGTCACCTCCAGCACCACTGGAGCACAAGGGCAGCGACAGGGACTCGACAGAAGAGATGCCCAAGGTGTAGAAAGCCACTTCCTTCACCCAAAAACTGAGCTCTGACTTTGCCAGGACAGACAGTGGTTCTGTCCAGCTTTGCAGCACTGTTAGGAAGGGGAAAGGACCACAGCAAACCTCCCCCAGCAGCAGGGTCGGCAGGCAGAAATCCCAACCTGTGGATCCTCAGCTGGCACAGACCAGCCAGTCCCTCCAGCACAGCAGAACCAGCCCCTTCACCCCAAGAGGGACCCTCTTCCCGTGCCCCCTGTGCCCCCAAAAACACCTCCCAAAGGCCACACAAGGCATTTACCCCACACAGAGACTTGCAACGGAGGTGCCTCGTTTGGCAGCCTCCCAAGGGTGGTAGTTTTCCATCTCCTGTGGGGGACCAGGGATCTTCTGGAGTATGGCATCTGGATGGGCTGGGCTGTTAATATTTTGGAGCCCTGAGCTAGGAGTTCCACCTACGTGAGTTTTTATTTTGGCTTTAGATGTCTCCTCTGGTCCAATTATAGATTAATCACATTTTATCTCGCATCCGTTTCTTACCCCCCCCCCCCCCTCCTTCCCTGCCCCCAACCAGGGAAGGCAAGAAAAAAGCAACAAACAGGTTATTAATTGGCTGCTGTTTTCTGCTGGGCTCTTATCTCTGCACGTGAAGCTGGGGAGGCTGGGGAAGGTGGCTCAAGAGCCTGCCAGGAAAGGCAGGGCATTTTAAGCCTGATTTTTCTGAGGAAACAAAGCTCCTGTGATGACATTATCTTAGCCTGGGCTTGCCTGCCTGCATCCAACAGCCTTTAAAGCCTCTGGCTGATAACAGCCTGGCCTCAAAAAAAACCACAAAGTTCCTCCAGGTCTGTGAAATCAGAAGGTTTTAGCAAGCCCTGAGCAATGATGTGAGGTGCTGGTGAGAACACAGCTCATGAGACACCAGGAATCCAGAGGGGAGAGGCAATCCACAGGCAAGGGTCACAGATCCAGGGAAAATTCAAGTCCCAGATGCTGTCCCACCTCCTCTGCCTGGGAAGGACCCTTTCCAGCCCTTCTCCACTTCCACCACAGCCACCCAGGAAATCCTCTGCAGGAAAAGGGTTGCTGTGCTTCCATGGAACAACAAGGGACACCTCTCCTCATCCTGGAGGGATGATCCTGGATCCCTTCTCTGCCCTCCCTGGGAAGGACCCTTTCCAGCCCTTCTCCACTTCCACCACAGCCACCCAGGAAACCCTCTGTAGGAAAAGGGTTGCTGTGCTTCCATGGAACAACAAGGGATGTCACTCTGTCCTCTCCTCATCCCGGAGGGATGATCCCACATCCCTCAGCAGGGGCAAGGCCACGATACAGGACTGCTCTGGGCACAGAGAGCAGCCAGGCAGCTGCAAAAACAGATCAGTGGGTCAGGAGACACTGCTCCCCCAGCAGCTGGAGGAGGCAGGAGAGGCTCAACCTGCTCTCCAGTGCATCCCAAGGCCAGCAGGGAGTTGTACTCACCATCCCGCGGCGTCGGCGGTGTCTGAGTGAAGTAACTGTTGGGCTTGTCTGCAAAGAAACAAAAAACAGGGGGCTGTCAGCAGGTCCCTTTGGATGCTCCCTCCTCCTCCTCCTTCCCCCAGACCACAGCTTTTGGACCAGCATTTCATCCTTTCCACGTGCCCTTCACAAACAGGTTCAACTCCCAGGGACAGGTTCAACCTCCCAGGGGGTCTCGCAGCAAGAAGGGAGCAGCAGGAACAGGATCCAGGAGCCCCAGCTCTCCCACTGGTATCGATGGAGCATCTCTGGCATGGGATCTGGGAGCAGCCCTCTGTGCCTGGCAGGGCTGGGGCTTGTCTCAGCCCGTCCTGTGCCATCCCACGGGGGCTGTGATGCCAATCCTGCCGTGTCTCCCCTCACACACACCTGGGCATGGACTCACCGGGTCATGTGGGTTGAGCAGGGCCTCCAAAAAGTGGGGGAAGGGGGTAGCCTGGGGCAGCAGAAGGTGAACACTCCCATGGGCACGACTGTAGGTCCCAGAGGAAGGTGGCACAGCCTTGCCACCTGCCAGCCCTCTACATCTGACTAAGCAGGGGGGTGAGAAAGATTCCGCTCAGATCTCCACAGACCCTCCCATCCTGGGTGAGGAACACCCTAAACCCAGTGTCCAGCTGGGCTCTGCTCACTATCAGAGATGTGCCCAGGGCAGCAAAGCCAGGCTGTGACAGAGGTGGGTGGCTCTGTCACCTGAGCCTTGCTCCTGCCAGCCTTTGGAAATGCATCCGTGTGTTTGACAGTTTTACACGGAGCCTGTTCCCAAACAATGCTCCCCTCCCGGGGAGGCGGCACATCCCAAAGCCAGGCTGGAGGATTTGCCTGCCCTCTAAAGGCTTTTTCTCACAGCAGGTGTTTGGCACTTTCCAGCATCAAGGAGGTCAAAGACACGGCTGCATGATGGAATACTCCTCCACAGGCTGTGCCTAGGGAAAGATGAGCACCTGTGCAAGGATGAGGTAACAGAGCACAGCAGCAATTCGTGGATGGATCCACGCCCAAATGTGGGATCTACTCAGCCACAGCAGGGACCAGTTTAACAATCCAACCTCAGGGAAAACTCCCCCATCTTGCCCCAAACCTTCTGTTTATTCCTCAGAGTGAGAGCAGGAAGCCTGGGAGACACATTCCCACCTATATATAGCGACAGGGCTCAAGGTCCAGCTTGGAACAAGGGAGCAGCAGTCCCTGGCCAGGGCAGGACTCCCAGGAGCCCTGCTGAGATCCTCAGCTCCCAAACGGGCTGGCTGCATCCCCCCCGAGCATCCCCCACACTCGGACCTCAAGCAGCACAGCAGGACACAGTATTTTGGGGACGGGACAGGGCACACCCAGGGTGCTGGCACAGCTGAGAGCACCGAGCAGGGCGGGAGCCGGGCCGGCCCACACACACCCGCCCTCCCAGCTCCGCTCCACCCTTCGGGGCCAACATCACGGCAGGGAAAAGTGGGGCAGAGCTGTGGAGCTGTCACCTCCCTGGATCCTCCCCAGGCAAGTGCTGAGCTCCCGGGTGAAGCCCAGCTGGCAGCGCTGGGAGCCCGGGCTGACCCCAGCCCTGCCTGTCCCTGCCTGTCCCTCCCCGGCCTCCCGCACGCCCGGGGGACACCTACAGTTATTGAGGAAGAGCAGCACGGCAAATCCCAGCGTGGAGGTGGCCAGGAGGATGAGGCAGATGTTGCAGGGGATCATGAAGTACCGCACCACCAAGGAGACCTTGTGCTGGTACAGCCGGTCCCGCTCCAGGGCCCCCGGCGCCATGGGGTACTGGCAGGCTGTCATGCTGGGCCACCACGCTCAGCCCACCGTCCATCCATCCACGGCACGGCAGCCACGAGGCTCACATGGATCCCTCTTCCCTCCCCTCCCCGGGCGTCTTCAGGAAAACCTAAGTTTTCCCCGAGGTTCCCATCTCGGCTCGCAGGAGGGCAGGGCGGGCTGGGGGGCACCTTCAGGGGCAGGAGTTTGTCCCCACGGCTGCCATATCCCAGAGGCACAGCCTGGGGGGAGGTCCGAGCCCGCTCCAGAGGGACGTGCAGCGCTCCCGTGCTCAGCAATCCCTCTGCCAGCCCGGAAGGTGTCAATCCACACCTGCTGGCAGAAGGCAAACAACAACCCCAGCGCTGAGAGAGCTCAAGTTCCACGGCCAAGCCCACCGGGACGGGGACGAGCCGCTGCTGGTGTGGGAACGGCACCAAGAGGCGCTGGCTCCCGGGAGCGGGGCTGGGACAGGGACGGGGGGTCAGCACGGGACCCCTCTCCTCAAGCTCGCAGCATCTGGAAAATCCATATCCTCTCGGCAGGGATGGCAGGGGGTCTGACCACCCCGGCAGCCGCCTCTCAGCTCTCAGCTCCTCGCTCCAGAAACGCGGAGCTTCCCCCGCTGTCCGCGCTCTCCTCCGGGACAGGTGATCCCGCGTCCAGCAGCCTCCGACCCTCCGCAGGTCCTCGGAGCCGAAAATTCCGGGGGCAGCAGCCCAAGATCCCGGGAGCAGAAGCCCAGAAGGTGCCGGCTCAGTTGTCCCACGCTCCGGCCGAAGGCAGACACTCCCTTTCCCACGGCAGGGCTCCTCTCACGGCCGCGGCACATCCATCCCCGCTCCGCTCCGCGCTCCTCCCGGCCAGCCGGCGCTCGGCGCTCCCTCGCCGTCCCTCCTCCGCCAGCTCCCCGGCACCTTCCCAACCCTCCGGCGAGCAGCGAGGGGCCACCGCAGCCCTCCTCGGCCCCCTCGGCACG